AGAAAGATGTTCCACCATCAGATGTAGAAAGATGTTCCACCATGCTGAGTGTATCGTCTAACAACCGTTATTTACTAATTTTTGTCTCATGTGACTGTTGGTTGCTGCTGAGGGTTTGTTTGGTTTTTGGTAAATTTCCCTGAAGGAGAGACGTAGAACAAATTGGTTTTGATGATTAGCATTTTCCTGATGGAGCCATTTGTACCCCATGAGTAGTTCACAGACCCTTAAAAGTCTCATGATTCTTTCTGTTTTTATAGTTTCTAGCTGTAGAGTTCAAGTTTTACCAGCGCTAGTTGTTTCCAACAACTCGGCCTCTCCAAAGGTCTGGAGTTCACCTGAAAACTCTCAGAATTTTTGTCACCAGACTGTCATAGCCAGGTCAGTCTTAGTTTCTCAGTTGCACTTCACAAAATGAGTTCAGGAACCATCAGAAAAACTGAAAAATGTGGTGAATTTTTCAGATTTTAGTTTCCGGCTGATAAGTGAAGTAATTTTAGATAAACAAACAAACCCATAACATTCCTTATAAACACGTTAGCATGTTTTAGGGTTCCAGAGTTTTAGATGTGTTACACAACTCAGAGCGAAATCAGAACCAGTTTCACTTAAAGAACAGACTATTTATTGCAATGCTTACCCTTGGTTTTAATTTCAAAAGTATTAAGCTCATAAAGTATCTGAGCTGCAACACATGTTCTTCTGGGAGTTGCATCATTTTCATTTAGCCATGTTGTTATTAGAGCACAGACAGAAACTGGAGACAAGCTGCAACGCCATTGTGCAGGTTATATCAGTTTACTGATTTTGCACATCAAAGTCTCCGTCCAGGTCCTGGGAAGTATTACTGCATATGTAAAACCTTCAGCGGCACCGCGGGGAGTCCGATAAATTGTCTAAAGTGATGTCCCTTAACTTGGCGTCGGCTGATGAGTGAACTCAGCAGACGTCTGCAGGCGGCTCTTCATCTCAGCTGGAGGCCTGAGACCCAAGGCTGTGCGATGTGGGGAAAATATCAGGGATTTTTCTGACAGATGTTGTCATTTAATTTGTGATATCATTTTTTTTTTTTTAAGTCGAGCTTCAGTCAAGCGTTGCCTCATGAGACGCCGTGAAGATGTGATGCACAGACGAGGACGATCGAACATAAACAACAAGTAGCAGTAAAACCATGACTGTTTTAAGTTGAATAAATAAAGTTGGAACAAGAATAAAACCAATAAGAAAATAATGGAAAACAATCAGGGCTGCAAGGTGGCGCAGTTGGTAGCACTGTTGCCTCGCAGCAAGAAGGTTGCCGGTTCGCGTCCCGGTGGGGGCACCGGGATCTTTCTGCGTGGAGTTTGCATGTTCTCCCCGTGCAGCGTGGGTTCTCTCCGGGTTCTCCGGCTTCCTCCCACACAGTCCAAAAACATGTCGAGGTTAATTGGTGATTCTAAATTGTCCGTAGGTGTGAATGTGAGTGTGCTTGGTTGTCTGTCTCTAAGTGTGGCCCTGCGATGGACTGGCGACCTGTCCAGGGTGTCCCCTGCCTTCGCCCTAAGTCGGCTGGGATAGGCTCCAGCCCCCCCGCGACCCTAATGAGGATTAAGCGGTGTATAGAAATGGATGGAAAACAATCAATGTGACACTGAATTCGGTTGGTTATTAATGCATTAATTAAAGCAGCATGAAAGTATTGCACAATCTGCAATAAAATTTAGTATAATAAAAAAAATAAACTATATCCCCAACTGCAGCTTTTGCAATAAGACTTGTTTTAATTTTAGTTCGATTAATTATTTAGCTGCAGTTGCCTTGTGGGTAATTTGTGCACAAGGATGAACAATAATATGAAGATAACTTTATCTATATCACACTCTAAAGTGCTGTGCAGACTCTGGAAGACAATATAACAACAGAAAGCCAGAAATAAAAATGTAAAAAAGACCAGAGAAGCAAAAAGTGGAGACAAAGAGTTACTACAAAAGTAAAAAATACAAAAATTGAATATAAATACATCCATACAACAAACAGCAATTGATAAAAGAAAAACAAAAAAACACCAAAAAAGCCATAAAACCTTAAAGTAAAGAAGAAGAAAAAACAGATATGTGGGATAAGAGAAAAAAAAGAAAGAGAATAAAGATTAAAAGAGAAAGTAAAACCATAGAAACAAGGATACTATAGGTAAAGACAGGTCTGTACAAATGGGTTTTAGGAATATAAGCGTGCATGTGAATTAACAGACCAACCATTAAATGTAAAATAATGGAGTAAAAGTGCAATGTTCTTAAAATCTAGTCTAAAAAAAGTGCAATATTTTGGACAAAACTGCTAACAGGACTTCAGTGCAGCTGCTAAACACTGATTCATCCTTATATTTACACTTTAATTGATTGAATCTTCACCCTTTTATCGTTTTAGTTTAGTTTCTGCCTCTTTGCTGGAACGTGCTTCGGCCTAAATGCGAGCAGCCCAGCGAGCCGACCTCCGTCCTGCTGCTTTCTGTCTCTCGGCGTATGAAGGGCCGGCTTGTGTGTCATAACAGGGCTCTTACTATACTTGATGGTTTTTCTAACCCACACCCTTCCCAGCTCGTCTCTTCCCTCCTTCCCCTCAGACTGAACTCTCTTTCTGCTCACAGGTTGCCTCTGGTCGTGTTGTTTATCCGTCTCTCTCTGACCCTCCTCCTTCCCTCCACCGGGGCCAAAATAATAATCCAACTCTGCTCCGTAGATGTAGCTGCAGGTTGTGTACACACAGTTTCCAACCTCATGTTTTGCAAGTTATTCGCTCAGTTTCAACCGCTGAGGAACACAGTTTGTGTGGACTTTATCCGCCAAAGCAAAAAACATTAAATATGCATCTTCTCTTTATCACATAGTGAACAAAAGAAGTCAGTACAACCATGTGTAAAGACGTATGTTATATCTGTGCAACTAAACTGAGTAAACGTGTGATTTCCAGTCAGCCTATCTGCATGAACATGGTTCAGTTTTGGACCTATGAGCTGTGTCTATGTCTGCATCATGGCTCCACGTGGAAAGGAACTGAACAGAGGAAACGTCTGATTGTGAGACTTCACAGAGATGGAAAAGGATCCAGGAAGCTCAACTTAAAATCAGTCGAAGCAGCAGTAACCAGGAGGTCTAGAAGGAGCTGCAGTAGCACTGATCAGGGCTGCAGGGCTCTTTCTCCCACAAATTGTCAGAGGAACTGAAAAACTTCAAAGTGATACACGAGAAGGTCAGAGAGGAACTAAAAATCAGTGAACCACAGTATGAGCAGTAATCAGGAGGTCTAGAAGGAGCCACAGTAGCACTAATCAGGGCTGCAGTGGTCGTCTTCCTACAATGACTCCAGAAAACAGTGAAATGCTTTCACTATGGAGCTGTGAACAACAGACAAAGGCAGCTGCTTCAGACTTGGAACAGGGCTTATCAATGGAAACCAGAGTTAGTTTGAAGAACATTAACCTCTCTGGACGGAGGACCCTGGTTTGCGATTTGGCACAAAACTTCCACATCAAAGTCTGCAGAACATGAACAGAAGCCTGATGGATGTTGGAGAACATTCTCTGGTCAGATGAAGATCAATGTGTTGGGCTCAGATGGAGTCCAGATGTTTGGTGTGAACCTGACCAGGACCACCACAGTGGATGCATCGTCCTGACAGTGAAGCACGGAGGTGGCAGTATCATGATATGAGGCTGCATGAGGGTAGAAGGTGTTGATGACATTTATAGATGAATGTCTGGTGATAAACCAGAATACTGGCTGACTAGATGACTCCCAGACTTTTTGTTCATTTGCATTCTGTGTAATAATCTTCTTCTTCGTTGTGTGTTGCAGAGCTGTGTCAGTGTTTCAACATCGACGTGAAGCATCCGCGAATCTTCACCGGTCCAGAAGACGCTTTATTCGGCTTCTCAGTCTTGCAGCATGAAGCAGACGGAGAGAAATCGTAAGTGTCTGTGTGGCAGAGAGAGACTGTTAAACATAATAAAGAAGTGAGACGTTTGTAATTAAACTGCCATAATCTGTAGACAAACAGGATGTTGGGATGATAAATGTTCTGTTGAAGGATGTTGGTCGGAGCTCCCTGGGACGGACCGCCCAACAACAGGAAGGGAGATGTGTACAAATGCATTGTGGGAGAGGAGAAGAACTCAAACTGCAGCAAAGTGAATCTAGGTGAGACAAACAAAGAACCTGAGCTACGTTATTCCTTTAGATATCCTCATACTGAACCAGTCTGCTGGTCTGTTTCAGGTGAAACCGCCCTCCAGAACGTCTCTAAGAACCTGAGGAACTCTCACCTGGGGATGACCCTCACTCCGGACTCACCTGACGGCTTCCTGGTACGTGGTCTCAGTGTTGGGAAGCGAGGTTTGTAATTCTGCTGCTCTGTGTGGGAGCTGAAGGGATGTGGTGAGAAAAGGTTGTGTTTGTTTGACAGACTTTGAACGAGTTCGCTCCCTCACCGTGTTTTCAATTGACGTCAGATGTGGCCGTACGTGATTCGCTGATCCTCCGCTTCCTCTTCCTTCCCTTCTGGAGACACATAAGACATAAAACAGACCGATTCCTCATTCAGTTTATGTCTTTACGTGTGGATTCACATTTCTGCAGTATTGTACATGCATACTGGATCTGTTTGTGTCAGAGAAAGTTTTGCCTTCAGAAGCAAATTATACGTCAAGATGTGCAGTTTTCAGGTCTAAACGAGGATAATTACAATTTCACGGCACTTTCACATTTTCTATCCAAAATTATTATAATGAAGCAAAACCTGTTGGCTCATTCAGGCAGTTAACTGGAGTCGTCTGCACTCATACTTCAACTCACTAGTCTATCCAACTCCTGTTTTACTGCAGTTCATAAAGATGCTCCCATTTCACCTTTCAGTGAAACTATAGATTGTTTTAAATCAGCCAATTAACCCTCTGAACCCCCAAAACCCACCTTTCTTTTACAAAAGTGCCAAAACTACACCAGAAGTGTCAAATTTTCAACTTTCTAACAGTCCTGAGAAGAAAATAAAAAGATTAGATCAGTAAAATAAATGCAGCATAGATCAGAAACAGTGAACAGAGGAGCCAGTTGTTGGAGATACATCCGGCATGGTAGAACATCTTTCTACGGCTGATGGTAGAACATCTTTCTACGGCTGATGGTGGAACATCTTTCTACATCTGATGGTGGAACATCTTTCTAC